ACATCATTTGCTCATTTGATGAATTTATTTAACAATCAATTTTCTTGTAGAAGGACATTCGAAAATATCACTACTCATCTTTATCGAGTGGTTCATGATCCTAAGGAATCCCTTGGAACTTTTACCAACAAGTTTAGCAGGGAAGTTCTGAGTATCCCTAACATCGACATGGCAACTGCAGTCGAAGCTTTCAAAATGGGCTTAAAGAATGATTATCTCTTCTATGAACATCTCATAATAACCCCATGAAAAAGGATGGACGAAGTAAAGATCAGAGCATTGAGATTCATCAGGCTCGAAGAAGACAAGGAGATCCAAAAGAGGAGCAACCCACCAAGCTCTTACGATCACCCCAATAGGAAGGCCGATTCATCGACCCAAAGATCCTATAAATCAAAACCTTATTCCAAACCCGACCATCACAGGGTTAACACCCTTGAAGATGATGGAGTGGAAGAATATTTCCTGAAGATTACTGACTATTGTTTTTTTGTGGATATTTTAGGTGTAATCTTTTCCATGCAGGATCTTGGAGAAAAAGCAAGATGGCTAAGAAAAGGAGAAAAATCCACCGCTTGGAAAGATAAGTCCAATTGGTGTGCGTAATATGAAGAATTTGGTCACGTCATAGAGGATTTCATAGCTCTCAGGAAGGAAATCAGTTATCTCCTGGGAAAATTATACCTCAAAGAAATCCTAGGAAGAAGAAAGGAGAAAACCAAAGAAAAAGGCTAGGATCCTCAGAGGATCCTCGAAAGACCAGGATCCCCCCCCCCCCCAGCTGATGTAAAGGTGATCAATGTGATCTCTGGATGATCTGACATTTGTGTTACCTCTTACTCTGCAGCAAAAAGGCACGCCAAGGTATCCAAAATGGAGAAGGAAAAGGGACCATGGAAGAACACAACGATCATTAACAAAAACGAGTTCACCTTTAACGAAGTAGATAGGTAGGACATCCAAGATCCTCACCATGACAGATTAGTAATTACTCTATACATCACCAACCATTTCATCAGAAGGATGCTCGTCAATAGAGGATCGTCAGTTACCATCATACTCCTGGACGTGTTGAAAAGAATGAACATCCCAAAATCTAAGATAGTTGCAAGATCCTTACTACTGATCGGGTTCAGCGGTGAAAATAAGCACACCATCAGCGAAATAAAGCTACCAATATACGTAGAGGGGGTAAATTTTGTTCAACATTTTTGTGTAATTGACACATTATCCTTATATAATATCATATAAGGTACATTGTAGATCCACGAAATGAAGGCCTTTCCATCGATGTATCATCAATGCGTAAAGACGCTCACCCCATGGGGGACAGTGAAGATCATTGGAGACCAACAATAATCTAAGGAATGCTACAAGACTTTGATGAAGTCCTCAACAATACCGTGACAAGAATAGAATTTAAAGAAGGGGGCATGAGATGTGTTTGAAGCGAGAGAACTTGATATAAAAAAAGTGTCCCTGAACCTTGAGGATCCTAAAGCCAAAGTTCTCATAGGATCCTCAATTCCTAAACAACTCAAACATGATCTCAAAAGGATCCTCAAGGCCAGAGGCAAGCCGTTTGCATGGAAGCATGAGGTCATGACATGTATTGAAAAAAGCATAATAACCCAAAAACTTAACATTGACCTATCTTTCAGGACGATACATCAAAAGAGAAGGAAATTTGCAACGGAAAGAAACCAAGTTATACAAGAAGAAGTAGAAAAACTTCTCAAAACTGGCATGATCAAGGAGGTGAAGTGTAACGCCCGTAGATCCCGACTAATCAATTTAGAGACAATGAGCATCAAAATTGATTTTTAGATGGAAGATTATTTAGAAGGAAGAGTCTTAAACAAGTTATAGTATATGTTACAAGGGTTCCGTAGATATAAAGAACGCCGAAATCCGAGTTATAACGAAGAAGTTATGGCCTGTCGAAGTTTCGCGACAAAACCGACACAACACTGCGCGACGTAAGTAGTGAATTTATGATAGAGGACTTTTTATGTAATGCACGTGTTTCTAGGATAGGAATTAATGTTGATGTAATAGTCTAGGTTAACCTTTGTAATCCGTTTTGAAATAATATAAATGTATTATTTGAGTATTATGTGTTTTATGCTTAATTATTGTGACTTAATTGAATTAAGGGTAAAATAAGCATTAAAATAAAATGTTAGATAAAACAGATATCGATACATAAAGACGTAGTGGTCGTGACAAGGATTCCATAAATATAAATAATGCCAAATTCCGAGTTATAACGAAGAAGTTATGACCTGTCGAAGTTTCGTGACAGAACCAATACGACACTGCGTGATGTCAATAGTGAATTTATGATAGAGAGATACTTAGCATTAGTGATCTAAATGTAAGTCGTAGAATACGTTAAACTGAGAGCGTGCATGAAAAGAACGCCTATATCTTACTTCGTATGAGGAAATTATGATTTTTCGAAGTTTCGACTTAGCAGTATGAAGCCCAAAGTTCGAATATGAGATCGAGTGATTTCTAGCAGAAACAATCTTAACGAGAATCGAAGATCTTGTCGATAGTAGTGCAATGGCGGAAAGACAGACGAAAAAGGATGTCATAGGAAGGAGTTATAAATTTATAACGAAGTTTTCCTATCCCGGCCTAATAAAAAAAATATAATAAAAATAAAGTCAAAATTAGCCGACGGAGTCTAAATGAGAGTTGTAGAGCATAATCTCACCTACGCGTGGATATAAGGAACGTTGAAGATAGAGATCGTATGCAAGAGTTATGATTTTCTGAAGTTCAAGGCACGCATCCCAAAGGGGAACGCCCCGCGTACATTTTCTAGGCATGGGTTGGGCCGTGTCGATGTTGAGTCAAGCGGATAAAGGATTGAGATGGAACCCCGCTCCTAAGCGCAACGTTCAGAGGAACGCCCAGCGTTCGTGGAGGGAACGCGCAACGTTCGAGGGCCAGACCCCTCCTATGAAGAGAATTCGAGTTCAGCCGAATTGGTTGCTCAATTTCTTTCCTCTCACTCCTTAAACCCTCGTTTTACGTGCAAGTTATACCCCCGAATCCCCGGTATCATCTCGACACTCGAAGCAAGTCCCGATGTTGCGAAGATCCCGAGAAGAAAAGAGTTTCTGAGCCGAAGCTCTGCCCGCGAGAAGCCCGATGTGTGAAGATATTCCGGTTTTATCGAAGAATTTCTATTTAAAGTGCTGTAGTGCTGTCCGATAATCGTCTTATCAAGTGAGTGTATATTCCCTTTCTTCTGACACACACACACACATATATATACATATATATGCTTAGGTTATTATGTTTAGAGTATCTATTGTATTATTGTATTCAAAATTGTGGGCCAATCAAATAATTAAGTTCTAAAAGAAAATGATTAATATTAAATTAAGATATAATAAATGAAATTGGCTACTCATTTAAAGATAACGGATGAATAAGGGAAGAAATGTATATTTGTCCTCTCCATTAAAATAGAAAACCGAATAACTTATCAAAGTTCCCGCATAATCCCTATAACATCGCATGCATCCGGTTTCCACTGCCTTCTGTATTGGAACACTAAATCAAACTATATCTTCTCTATTAAACCAAAAAATCGGAAGATTTTGTTGTTTTTATTATATAAAGTGATCGATTCTTGAAGATTATTCATAAAAATTGCGTTGTGATCGTTCGAAGTTACAGAAATTGCAGTGCAATGAGGAACAAAAGGACGACTTCTTTCAAATCGAAATTTAAGAACACAAGAAACAGTGTTGAATCTAGATGAAGACGATGATGATTTCATCGCTCCGCCTCAAGGTAATCTTCTATTTTTTTAAAGGTAATCGTTTGAATACACAACATTCTTTTCGAATGTTGTACAAATGAAGCATTTGCATGTGGTTATTTTGAGTTGGTTTAAGTGAAATAGAACGAAATAGTTGAAAAAAATGGTATTTTTAGATTAGGGTTTTATGAAATTAGGGATTTAAAATCCGGTTAAATGTTTGCATTCTAACAGATATGCGAGAGTTTATTTGCAAAAAAGATGTTGCGATTGTTTATTTTGTTTTGTGTTTTATAAGTGACATAAGAAAATGTTTTTTTTATTTTTTGGTAATATTTTGTCGCATTTTGTTAGATTTATGTTATGTTTTATTCTGTAAGAATGCAAGTAGAGTATGTGATGTTCATATGAAACGTATTCTTCCAGAATAAGAGCATATTTAAAAAATTTGCTTTTAGGGTTTGTAGTGTTGTTTATGTTTGTTTTTTTTTTGTAAGAATTTTCAGTTAAGTTTTTAAAAAGTTTCATAAAACTGTCATGTGTTTGATGTTCTTGTGGAAGTTATTGAAGATGATGTTTGATTTTTTTTATTCTTTTTCTTTTATGTGAAAGAATTAAATTTTTTTAATTTGTAGTTTTATCCCTGTGATTTTGATGATTTACTTGAATTGTATTTACTGTAATAATCGTATTCTCATAGAATAATATTAAGGTTTTGTGTTTTGTATTCTTAAAGAATAGGACAATGTTAAGTGTGTATAGGGGTTATATAAGATTGCAGTGTGACTGGTTAATCTGCTAATTGATAGTAAGTAAATGAATGTTCTTTTTTCTTGCTATGAGTTTGGATGATTTACTTTAAGTGTAAATACTATTGGGGGTTAATTCTCATAGAAACAATATATGGAAATAGTGTTGTATTCTTACAGAATGGATACATATACAACATTGATATTGGGTATATAGATATTTAATTATGGATGATAACATTGAAAAGTACTATTAATTGACTTGCATCATTTGATTGATTAGTTGTTGCAGAACCTGATGCACAGGGAGTTAATATTAATACTACAAGGCAAACAAATTTGAGATGGAACTACCATACCAGATCAACACCCGTGAAAGAGAATATCAGTTCTCAACCTACAGTTATATTTTATTTCTTTGGTTCATGAAGGAAAATAACAAAAAAATTTATAACATGTTGATAGACAATATGTATGCTTTGTTACCTAATGAAGGAGAAGGTGTCGGAAGTGAGCAAATTGATAGAATTATTGTTGGATCAAGCAAAACAAAGAAACAGAAGAAAAAAACTTCAAGATCAGAACATCAAAAAAACAATGTAGATTCTGGAGAGTCAGGTAATATCATTATTGCTTGTAATTAATGATTGTTATATTATACTTATGAGAATGCTAGTATAAAATTAAGTATTGTATTCAGGTTGTAGTAGAAATTGTTTATATTATTATGTTTAGTATTCTATTAAATTTGTAGTAGAATGTGAGTAATTATGTGTGTGTGATTCAACAGATGTTAACAAAGATAAAGAAGAGACAAAACAAAGTGATAGCACGGTTGTTGGAATGATGAAAAGGAAAGGTTCTGAGAGAAGTACAGCTGTTAAGGATAGTAAGAAATCGTCGGAAGCAAGTGGTGATAGGAAAAAACCAAGAAGTTTAAATGAGTTACTTATGGAGAATATGAGTGGGTCAAAGAAAAACAGTGAAAGACAAATTTGGTGTTCAAATGGAAGATGAGGAAAATGTTGTAAAGATTAAAATTAAAAAAAAAAAATAGTGAATGACGCACATTCAAAAAAATCTCCAAAGATAAAGAAGGGTAAAATAGGGCATGAAAAAGTTAATATCAAGACAATGCAGGGGAAGGTCAAAAAATAAGCAAGGAACATCCAGAAGGGTATAGAAGACTAGCAACTAGGATGACTCCTAGAAGGATTAGTGCAGCTGTGAAAGTAATGTCCCCTGCATAGAAAAATGGGATTGTGTCAATGGGGTTTGGTTCACTTCTGAATATTGACATGGAGACTGCTCCGGGGCTGCTTAACTACTATCTGTTATATCACTATGATCCAGATAGTAGTCGTCTAGTTCTGGAGAATATGGTCATAACCATTACAAAAGACACAATACATAACATGTTGGGTTTACCAAATGTAGGGGAAGACTTGTTGAACATGAATAGTTGTGAGAAAGATAATGAAGTTCTTCTAGAATGGAACAATCAATATGATAAGAAAGGATTTAATGGTGAAGAATACCTGAAAATGATCAAAAACACAAAGCAAGATAGTCTTAGTTTAGGATGAATTTTTTAACCCTTTTCATTAACACCTTTGTGGAATCGACTTTGAGTGGTACCAGTCAAATAAATGTTGTGAATAAGTTGGTCATGGTAAAGGACTTCTCTAAAATAGATTGGTGCAAGTATATTGTAGATTGTTTAGTGAGCAGAAAACAACTTTGGAGAAGGGATGATAAGACATGCTATTTTAGTGGACCTATACCCGATTTTGATGGTAATGTTCTTATCTCGATTATATATTTACTTTAATGTAAATTATTATATGTATAATGAACTAATTAATGTAGCTTTTTATGTAGCTGGTGTATGTATATAGCATGAAGTTTTCAGGATTAAAGATAGTTAAGAGGTTACCGTTTGTTAGAAATGTTACAGGTGCTCTCCTTGAAAAAATAGAGAAGTTGGAGATTAGTGTGGGAGGGGTTGGCAGGTAGCTACCAGAAAACTTTGAAGACGTTGATGATGATGAAGAAATGGTTGATGAAGATGAAATGTCGGATGGACTAATCAGATAGTATGGGGGTGAGGAGGTAAGATAGTAATTCTATTAGAATTTAATGTAATTTAGTCTTGAATTATTTTTTGTGTCTTAAAGAATTTGAGTTAAAATAATTGTGTTATACATCTATTTTGTCAGAATTGTGGTAATGATTTGTTACAATAAAACTTACAGACATACGTGGCTGTTATAGAGCATAGCTATGGAATTATATTGTTCGAGAAGAAGAATATTGAAAAAGCTCTAAAAAATGGAATTGAGAAATTCCCAGATAGCTTGATGTTGAAGGAGTGGTATGAAATAAAAAATGAATTATTCAAGAAAGAGAAAAAGGCAGATAATGGAGGAGTGAATAGTAATGAAGCTGGTTTTGAGGGTGATAATAATGAAGGAGATGCATATGGTGGTAATGAAGAAGGATTCTCTCTAGTTAGAGGATTGGTAGTTTATGGGGATATGCATGATTACGGTGGAGGTTTCAGTACACCTAATGTGGAAAAGGTAGATAATATATACAATTTAACATGTTCACAATTCATGGAGCAACCTGAAGTGTTGGTGACAACAATTAAAATGAGAGATGATGCTGTGTTGGAAAGTTATAAAAAAGAAGAAAAAAAGAGGAAAAAAAATCTTGGAAACAGTTGAAGTATGTGAGGACTATGATGGCAATGGAAAAAGGGGGAAAAGAGAGACAAAGATACCTGTTGATGGAAAATCACCTTTTGTTGAAAGGATTATTAAAATCGGGGATAAGGTGAAAACGGATGAAATATCGTTATGCAATTCAGTTTTTGCATCCAAAAGAAATTATGGGTAATTTAAATAATTGTGTTAATGTTTTGCATTTAAAAATGGGGTGTTATAAAATTGATCATTTATAATTGATGCGCAGGGGAAGAGATATGGAACATTGTGTAACGCCCGGGTTTCGGGGCTAAGCATTTTAGACGATATAATAGTCTAGGTCAACTATTGTAACTCTTTTAGAAGTAATAAAGATGAAATATTTGAATTCTATGTGAATTATGTGTATTTGTGTGCTTATTACTTAATTATAAAAATATAATTAAAAAAGAATAAAAATAAGGGTCAAAATTAAAGTATGAGATAAGTCTAATATCTTTGCCTAAAGTTTTAGTGGTTGAAATAAGGATTATGGGAATATAAAGAACGCCGAAATCCGAGTTATAACGAAGAAGTTATGACCCGTTGAAGTTTCGCGACGGAACCGACACAATACCGGGAAGCGTAAATAGTGAATTTACGATAGAGCGAGTTTTAGCCTTAGTGACCTAAAAGAAAGTCATAGAATACGTTAAACCAAGATCGCCCATAAAAAAGAACGCCCAAATCTGACTTCGTATGAGGAAGTTATGATTTTTCGAAATTTCGGCGTAGCAGTGTAGAGCTCGAAATTCGAATATTAGATTGAGCGTTTTTTAGCCAACACAACCTAAACGAGAATCAAAGATCTCGTTGAAAGTAGCATAACGAGAAAAAGATTTACGAAAACGGATGTCGGATGAAGAAGTTATGAATTTTTAACGGAGCAATCATGTCCCGGCCTGTTAATAATATAACTTTTAAAATAAAGTCAAAATTAGCCGACGGAGTCTAAACGAAAGTTGTAGATTACATTTCCACCTTTGCGTGGATATAAAGAACGTCGAAAATGGAGCTCGTATGCGAAAGATACGAATTTTTAAGGTTTGAAGATGAATTCGCGAAGTGTGGTGTGAACCTGATGACGTGGCTGAGCCACAACCGTCCGATGCGCCGTCCCAGATCATGCCACGTCGCCTCGCTTCGCAGAACGCCCAACATCTGATCTCATATGTGCCACGTTCCCTCGGTCCTTATCCTCTTCCGAATGCGAGCCAGTTGGATCCACGATGCAACCTTATCCGAAGCTACGCTGAGCGTAGTTGCTGAACGCCCAGTGTTCTGAGAGGCTTCGCCCTCCTATAAATAGGTGCGAAGATGGCCGGTTTTATCACATCAAATCTCATTCTCTCACTAAAAACTTTCTCTCTCTATCCCATTTTGAGCCCCTTAAAGTATAGGTGAAACCCTAGCACCCGAAGGAAGACCCGAGGCTCCCAGAGTCCCGACAAAAAGGGTCTTTCGGTTTCGAAACGCTACTCCAAGCGAAGCCCGGTTTTCTCTAAAATCCGTTGTAAGTGAGTTACGCCTACGCAACATTTAATATAGCTTTTAAATAATTATAGTAATTTTATTAGGACCTTAGAATAATTATTTGGGCTATTATTATGGGTTATATAATGTCGTTATAATATCTTTTTAACCACTCGTGGTACGGGGGTTCCGGTTTGGAGGGCTGCTTGGGTTGTTGGATTTCAAAAGTGCTTTTATGCCAAAATGATCATGCCCTCCGGTGTTCCATGTCTGACCTCATCTGTATATAGTGGGTGAAAAGTATTGTGTCGCACTTATATAATAGTAATAATAGCCAGACTATTAATTAGTTGCGGTTATCGTTGGACTAAACCCTAGTGGTATTGATACTAGGTTTTCGTCGAGGAAAATTTGTTTTGAGTTAACGAAGTGCGGTTCAAATACCAAATCACCACCTTTCAGGTGAGTGCATAGTTACCTTCATCTTACACATAGATATGAAGTATTTAGTATAAATTACATGCTATGTGTGCATATTGTCTGAATACTTGATGTCTATGCTGGGTGAAAGATTTTATACACGTTTTAAATGTTTTAAACTGTATATGTATTTTATATCTACAAAATGTGTTGGGTAAAACATGGGTAGATGTAATAGTTTGTTGTATGACCAAAATAAATGATGAGAGGCCTCGCTATAGATGTTATTGATGATCCAGTCATTTAGCGAAGTATAGATGATGACCACGGACTATTGTAGTCAGTCCAGTGGAACGCTAGCAGGATCGCAACCTGTAGGTGTTTATTTGAACTGTGTGTTTATTTGAACTGTGTGCTTACCAGAAGTACTCCATCCTCCACATGGTTGCCTTATTGACATATATTTCCGAGGAATCCCTGAAGCATATATTTTCACCCTGATGAAAGTCCTTACACTAGGTCCCTTGTGTTAGATGTTTTAGGAACGTAAAGTAAGGATAACGGGAGGGGTAATCGGGTATGTTTTGTTAATGAAAACAATAAACTTATTTATTGTGGGTTGAAAAACCTATGTGCTCACCAGGCTCCTAAGCCTGACCCACTCAATTTCTTTATTACAGGTAGTGGCGCATGAGCATAGATGTTTGGATGAGAGATAAGCGATTATAGGTCTGTAAATACGAAATAATGTAGCAAGGCCTATATTGTGTTGTTTATGCTTATGTACTGTATCGAACATGACATTCCGAGTCTTTTTAATGAAATACATTTCTAAGGAGATGCTTTTGGAAAATCTTTATCATAATTTTATTTTGGGACAAATTCCGCAACTCTTTTATTAAAAACATTACTCTGGTTTTCAAACAAGCATAAAAAAAATCGGTCTTTTCTGGCCGTGAAAAATGGGGATGTCACACATTAAGAGTGGTCATGTGTTGCATCAAGGATTCACATATCGTTTTAGAAGCAACACATTTATTCATGCGATAATCATTGATTGTTGGACATCATTACTGAACAGATGGGTGGAATTAAGGGATGTAGGTTCAGTATCTAGAGTTTTCTTCGACACAATTTTTTTTGGTAAGAATTCAATCTAAATCAGTTTAAGGTACAATAATATGTGTTGTATTAATTGATTGATTTATCTTTACAGGCACCAGAAATACTGGATGCATCATTATCAGTTGATAGAACTCAAAGAATGTTTGATTCGATGTTGGAACTACACCTGAAAAGTCTACCAAAACAGGAAAAGCTTAAGGATATTGGACTGGTAATCTAATTAATTTTTGTCTTTTATCATTTACAGCCCTAACATACAAAAGTAGCTTACTGTTATAAAACATGTTGTATCCCAGGTTTTCTTCCCAGTAGTTGATAAGAGCAAATATTATCTGATATGCTTTGATCTAAGGGTTCCAATATACTACATCATTGATCATGTGATCAAAATTGATTCTGTTGAGGACATCTATGGAGGAAAACCCGTTCATGTGGTATGATTAAGAAATTTTTTTGTAAGGTTCTAAAAAAATGAATTTTGTAATGATGATAAATAAATGTAATATATTGATTGTATTGTATCGCTGAAAAAATTGTCAGGGAACTATTTAAAAGCAGAGCATTACCAAAAGTCAACAGCTTTCAACAAGATTAAAGCTCGTGTTATGAAAATGACATGGAAAGTAGAGAAAGAAGGCTCAGACTATGGAGTATACCTTATAAGGCATATGGAGTCATACATGGGGGAAAATGAAGGGCGATGGGATTTCGGTTTTACAGGGAAAAAACAGAGTGATGTACTTGCTTTAGATAATCTAAGAATCAAGCACATGGCAAAGCTTATGAAATCGCAGTACAACATACATAAAAGTATGTTGGAGAAAGATGCAGAAGAATATGAGAAGCTCGATCCATTGCAGAAAATAGCTCTGATGAATGAAGTCAAGGAAAGCAGGGAGAAGCAGAGGCGTGGAAGGCTTCTATTTTAAAATGGGCATTTTATGATAGTAGGATGGTATGTGTTGATAGACTTTTTGTGACATGTTTTGTTTTATTTAGTTCAAGAATTGTTTGTTTTAGGTAAACAGTTTATCTTGGTAGGATGGTTTATGTTGAAATACATTTGGAAACATGGTTTGTTTGGGTTTAGTTATTTAATTTAGTGGAACTACGTTAATGTGTTTTGTTTTGTTTTAAAAGTTTTTGTTCTGGAAACATGGTTTCTTATGGTATCTTTTGGTTTATTTATTCTATGAGAATATTTGGAATGTGATTATAAAAGATGTTTTCTAATATATGGTTTCTTTGGGTTTAGTTATTATGTTTGGGGGAACTATGTAAATGTGTTTTATTTTGTTGTAAAAGTGTTTGTTTTGGAAACATGGTTTCTTATGGTTTCTTTTGGTTTATTTATTCTATGAGAATTTTTGGAATGTGATTATAAAAGATGGTTAGTAATGTACAAGGAAGTTTTGTTTTAGAAGAATGTAAATATGATATGCATTTCTTGTGTACGTTTGTGACAGGTTATGCTACAGATTAATCGTGGATAAGAATCGGTACACTTATCTGTACATAATTATTCTGACAGAATAACATCAGTTAGGATTTATGAATATGGTGTTGTTACAAGGTAGGAGACACAGTACTCATGGGTAAGAATTGGTAGAAATGGCTGAATATAAAGCTCTCAAAAGTATAGATATGGTGTTGTTACAAGGTAGGAGACAAAGTTAAGAGAAAAGGTAGGAGACAAGGTTCTTAAAAGTATAGATGCATTTTTTCGTTTGTTACGTAGTAGTGTTTTTCAAAGTTCTTAAAAGAATATAATATCGAAATGGTTGTATAACATCTGAAAGAATGTATGTAAAATGGTTTACATTCTGTCAGAATTTATGAATTGGCTTAAAGTTTAGTTTCTTTAATTTGATTTTGATAAAATTATGTTTTTGGGTAGTAAAAAATTGTAATGGAAAATAGTGATTGTACAGAGTGATAAAGTAGGGGATACAATATTGAATAAACTATTAAAACAATGTATGCAAAAGTGCATAACGAAATATGATAAATATATTAATGACTATGAATTTTTAAGCAATATCCGTACTAAATGTGAAAATAAAAGTTTTATTGTATTGTAATATTTAAAAAAAACTACATATAAAGCATACTACTTAGACACGTTTTTTAAGAGAGCAATTTCGTTTATCATGGTTAGCCATCTGCTTACATAAAACACACTTTCGCTTAGGCTTCGGACTTACTTTTTCCATCATTTCTTTCTTTGATTTTAATCTCTTACCACGACTGCTAGTTCCCTTATTACAAATATCTGATGGATTCTCAATATCGGGAACATCGTTAATGAATTCTACACCTATAATCTGGTTATAGAATGATTCTCTTGATGGCATCTCAGGGGCTGGACAATCATCTACAAATTTTTTCTTCAACCTATTCAACTCTTCAAGGTATGACTTTAAATTCCATGCATCATGGCTCAAAAATGAAACGCAATGATCTACATTTGAAAAAAATTTCAATAGCCATCATGTCAGAGTTAGAGTCTAGTAACTAATTAGAAAAACGCCTTTTAAGCAATTCAGTTGGAATAACATCCCGAAGCCACCGTCTCATAATGTATTCTTCAGGACTCTGTTCAATACTATAGTACTTAAAGACACAGAATATGTGCCTACACAAAATGCCGACATGTTCAAAATGCATGCAGGTACACTATATGAACCATCTGATGGGTTTTATTCATAAGAACATCCTATGTGCTTATACAAACCCTAATGCTTGGATCTAGTTTTCTCTATTGTACATGCAATTCATCCAAGACTATAAACCCTAGATCTAGAATATGATAATCAATATAACATATGAATTAGGGTTTAGATCATACCTTGATTGTTGTGTAGCAATAACAATCTCAAATCCTCCTTGTAAAGACTTTAGAAAGCTTAGAGTCACAAATGTCACTCCTCTAATGGTTCACAAACACCAAGAGCAAGAGGATGAAGAGGAGAAGAGAAGAGACACCCAAAAAACGTGTAGAAACCCTAAGGATTCAGTTGGCCACGTTTTTGGTGCCCAAGGGGTCCTTAAATAGTGAGGCTTTTAGGGTTATCTAACATGGAAACCCTAATTTGGATGCTTAGGCCCTAAGCAACCCATGAACCCTTCTTTAACAAGACTTGGATGATTTCTAATGCGTTTCCCATAGAATTCGTCCAACCTTATATTATAAGGTAATCCATAGCCCAATTACAATTATCTTATAATTACAATTCCAGTCCCTTAAGTTTAATTAATCTCTTTTAGTCACAAAAATAATTATCAATTAATTCTTGACTAATATTAATCAAACAATATGATTTCTCCTTTAATATATTATTCTCATAATATATTAATAAATCATATTTAATCCTTTCTCTCCATAATTCATCCTATCAAGTTGCTTTGGTGAAGGCAACCCAAAAGGACCATGCACCATCGGGTCAAGTACATACCAAAATAGTTATGGACTTAGACACTAACCCAACAGTCTCCCACTTGGATAAGTCTAATAACTATTTTGCGTATGACTTCAAATCCTGATCTGCAATCGTAGCTTTCCAAAGCCGTTGTCAACTTTGATCTTATCAGATACACGTGTCCTTTAGATAAGGGATCATATATTCCTCCATTCTAGATATCGTATAGATATGAGACATGAACTTAATCATTCCCTCTATACTATTTCCCGACTTCCGATTTATGACGACTGATAACAGACTACAATTGAAGACATCAATTAGTCCCGGCTTGGCCAAGCGCTTAGGTGCCATCACTAAATCATCGAGGGGCCCAAAGATATCACTTTTATCCTACTTTGGATAAAAGGAGCGGATAAACTTTGAATCAATGCTTGCTTTCACTCATTTACCGAATCACACACAACAATATGTTTTATAACACCAAGTTACTGGTTCGTTTTTCATATTATCAATGTGCAACCAATTTGCAAGATACAAGTCACGCATCTCGGTTTCAAGAATATACAATATTATCGACTCACAATCACGCGTGATCAAATCTATATAGTGATTCTTGTGAGCGTGGGTTTAATCCAATGCTCAAATCATATTCATAAGCACTCATGAACATTGCAGCAAACATTTGCTTATATCTAATACTCTTAAGACAATTCACGCACCAATTCACGACAGTCTTCATTCATACCTACTTCCAACATATGAACGACTGTGGCACGTTCGAATAATTTGACTGTTCTAAACTAATTAAATTATTCAGGCAGTCAAAACATGAAAATTGAATCACAAGAATAATACTAATCCTATATGGTCCCAAACCCTTGAGTATAAATAAAACTCCTTTTATTTATCACCATATCGATTACTCATTATTGGTTGTTTCGGGTAATCAACTTCTTACTTGAATTATTACAACACTTGTCCCATGCTCTTAGCATGCACATAATGTTTACCTATGGTTTTTACTTTGTGAAATAGATCAAATGAACACATTTCCAATCATATTCATTTCACAACTCCTAATCCTTTTCACAAGTGAAATAATATCAAATTCTTGCCACTTATAGAATATGCTAGATTCTAACATTTTATGCAATGATCCTTTCGTAATGTCATAGCACAAAAGTCACAATGACTGTTGCCAATGAAATTACAAAGTTATATATTTGTGATTGTTACAATACAATTCTATAGACGTGATGTTTCTCTCTCAAAGTACATTCCTTTGAACATCCTTTTGCATAAAATTTTCTAATCTAGACATAGACTGTCAATATCCAACTCCCAATATGGAAACATTTCCATATTTGCCATATGACAACTTATTCTCAATAGAATCTTATCTATTCATAATAATGTCGATATGGTCCATCCAATATCATACTTCCAACTTCTCACAAGCGACCAATCCTCATCGAGCTTTGGATCGTCCTTTGATAGTTTTTTAATTATCTTAGTCAAGACTGATTCTTGTCCTTTTTCCTTTTTAATGCGCTAGACATTTGGAAAATTTTAGAATGGTCAAATATTATAGCACTTGCAATCGATCCTATATCTGAAGCGTATGGGACACGATGCATAATGTCTTACATAAAGATTTGATAATTTATCAATCTTCTACCATAATATTTTATGTGCTACGTTCTCACAATTCTAACTATGAAGAGGAATGCTGTAATCATAATCGAAATTTGAGAACGCACTATGTATCCTTGACTAAAATTATTAGCATTCCACAACCTAAGCCTTTAGATTTGAAATGAAGCATAATATTCTCTCCCTTAATTATAGAAAAACAACTATTCAACCCTTACAACTTTTCAAGGCATGACTCTTGTTTTCTATAATTAATATTGCTAACTTGCAATACTTGCCTTAATAATCATACAAGCATAACATTTAAGCTCCCACTATCACGATGATTATTATAAACATAACACTTATGCTCCCACTAGCTTTGACATGTATTCAGAAACAGCTTAACTTCCAGAAAAACAATACCTATTGAATTTCTTAAGTTCATGTTTCTAATACCTAATGCCTTGATAATCTTTTATCTAAGCTTATAGAGCTTTGCCTTAGATAGCTCATTTGTGTGTCTAAACAATTCAGACTAATTGCCAAATCTCACAATTCGAATAATGGAAAGGGATACCGTAACCATAATCGAATTCGAGAATCCAATTTTCACAATCACTATCTTCTTAAATTTCTCTTAGTGAAAGCATTTCCTCACAGTCATTTTCATGAAGGAGGGAATTTTATGACACTTAGATTTTAATGGTGTATGTGTTCCTATCCATGTGAATTTGTCAAAACCAAGGTTTGCAACAAATCCGAACTCATATGGACCAAACTTCTAAATCTTGATTTCTTGCCTTATGGCAACAAGAGTACCCACCATGTCTTCCAAGTAGTTAAACAGCTCATCCTTTCCTATCAATGTATTT